CTCCCGACGTCCCACAATGCCCCTGCTCAGTAAACGTGTGTACAGGAAGCATCATAATGCGATATTCAAGCTAATGAGATCACAGACTGAGAGTATGTCCTCCGATAAACTCCACTGATCAATGGAGCTGAAGTGTAAATGTTGCCCCTCTTGGTTCCAGTTGAGTACATTCACATTAATGCTGTGGATAGCGCCAATCTACCAAACAACATAACCCTTCAGTGATTAGGTAAGGAAAAAACACTATTTGTAAACATCCATAGTTTGACCTAAATACCATCTGCCAGATCATGCGATTATCAGACAATGCACTTATGATATTCAGAAATAATATTGAACCATTTTCCAAGCATTATATTTTGAAACCAATATAATCTTTTTAGATAACATTTTCATTTCAGTAAAAATCAAGTAAACAAATCCAGATATGAAAAATACAGTTTACTAAGATAAAACTATTAAATCATTGAAAATTCTCAGTATTAAAATGAAATCATGAGGTAAATAAGATAAAAAATATATCCTTTCACTGATCAATTGATTGACAGGGGAACTGATCCGGGGTAGAATAGGTCTTCAGCAACCCATGCTTGCCCAAAAAGGCGACTTTGCTTGTCGTTAGAGGCGACTAACGGGATCAGGTGGTCAGACTCGCTGACTACGTTGATGTATGTCATTGTATCCGAATTGCTTGGATCGATACTCATGATCAGATGTCAATCACTGGATTGTCTGGTCCAGACTCAATCATTTACAGATCGCCGTCATACAGCTGGAATATTGCTGAGTGCTGCATTAAACAACAACCAACCAACCACAGGGTAACTGCTGACAAAAAATAAACCTGCCGACTTGGTTGATGCATGTTCAGTTCGGTAAAAAACAAATTATCAGTGGTAGAAAGTTGCTAACAAACATATGTTATGAGATGGGAAGATACCTACAATACAACAGGCAGCGGTTATAAAGAGGAAAATCAGACTCTCAGCTGGCATGTTATCCACAGTCTCACATTTATATCGAGCCCTGATATTGCAAGGTGTCTATCAGCAATGAGTGAGTGAGTGAGGATGGTTATACGCCGCTTTTAGCAATATTCCAGCTATATCACAGCGGGGGACACCAGAAATGGGCTTCACACATTGTACCCATGTCGGGAATCGAACCTGGGTCTTTAACCACTTGGCTACCCGACCGCCCTTTCTTGTAGTAACCTAACAATTCAATGGTGGAAGTAAATGTCGGTGTCAGGTGTCAAACTAAACTCTACAATCAATGTGGAAATTACTCAATTCTGATTGGCCAATCAGAGGTATCAAATAACAATAACCACCTCTGATTGAAACAAGCCATGGAGGCTAATATTGATATAACTTCTTTCTCAGTCATTGTCAAAAGGCTTCTCTTAAATAACAAAATGGAGTGTTGTGGCTACTACAGCCTTCGAAGTATGTGGCAAAACATTTTGGGCAGAAAGCACAAGAGAAATCAACTATAAGAGTTTATTTCAACTTTTAGGGACAACAGATAGCTTGATTGTGACGTCATATCTTTCACATCAAAAAGATTGGTCTGATGTCAAAATAGTGACATGCTGTCACAACTAAACCTAGACCTACATTTAGTCCCAGAAATAAAGTTATCTTATTTAAAAATATAAATCTAAAAAATAAAAAAAATAAATTCCAAATGGTGCCCTTAAAGGGACAGTACATCAAAAGTTCTGTGTTTTTAATTATGCATGAAATAATTTCGGAGTGTGACGTCACATGCCAATTCAATTCTCAATCCAAATCAGTTGTGCTTTGCACAGTGAAGCCAACAACGCAAGCGCTGCGCAGAGTACACTGGCTTGAGTAATGTATTTTATTAGAGGCAAATTGAAGAGAAGGCTTGTGTTGTTTTTTTACAGATGAGTTACAAACTATTCATTGCCATCTGGATTAGATTAGAAGCCAGTGTTTACCAAGATAACACTATAAATGCCTTGGTCGTATGAAGCCATGGAATCACTCACCTACCCAGAGTTCCTTGCGGCCAGCCTAGTACCTCTATCATATTGTCATATCGTGTATTTATCCTCCATGTCCTGTCCTCGAAGCCCTACGGAGAGCTAGCGATAAGGTCGCTTTGATGCGTAAAGCTTATAGTGCCATGCCCCTCACTGTCGAAGTTGTAGTAGTGCCAATATAATAACACAATACAATATATGAAGCACATCAAAAGGCTTGCATTAGGCCCGTCTGTTCTTACTTAAGAATAAGTGTATTTCTTTACAAAAAAGAGAAAGGCCCAGCCACATGATAAACCTACACCCGCTGTGTGGTCACTGGAGAAGAATATTCTGTTGCAGAATAAGGCGCTCCTCGAGTAAGCCTGGGGCTTTGTTTACAAACAAAGCTTCAGAATCCTTTAATTCCAAGGTCTGAGGCAATCTAGACTTGAGTTGGACTCTCTTTTTTTAGATATTTTCTAGGGTCTTGGAGGCCCTTAAACTAGACCTTGCAAGACTTGCTTCATTTTCGTCTGGGCTTCCCACTTCATGTTTGACATGAAGTAGCTCTGCTACACATACTCTCAATGTCATTGGTCGGTTGGTTGGTTGGTTGTTTAACGCAGCACTCAGCAATACTCCAGCTATATGATGGCACTCTCAGTCATATATGTGAGCAAATTATGACGATGTTTGAGTACAGACAGACATATTTTGTTTAAAGTCTGTGTTTTTTAAATTCAGAATGAAAACCCACTCAAAACACTGGATTCATCCCAGGCCGCTTCACTCAACATCTTCTCCCACACCAAAGAATTCATGTTGAATTTTAATAACCCTAATTAAAAATAAGAGGTATCTAACCTACAATGAGGCTACCTCAAATTTCAAAACACAGTAGGCTGATCTCCTAGTTATGTCCAAGTCGTTAGGGAAGTCTTATGCTGTTATACTGAAATACATCATAAAGTTCCATTGATATTCAGTGTAATTACAAGAATCACCACAGAACAACAGGATATATGGATTGTCTGATACCCCAAGTTCAGATTAATGTATTTAGAGTAAAAGCCTTGTATTTAATACCCCTCAGCAGTAGATTGGTGACACCCCAGTAGGTCACCCAAGGGAAGAAACCCCGAAGTTACACATCCAAGAGATGTACTCAGTTCAACATCTGTAATTTTTAATTATTCAATTTTAATATTATATATAGAAAAAAGGTTTCAAAACTAAACCCTGTAACTTACAGAAGACCTCATCAATCTCATCTACACGAAACCCTAAATGGTCATTTTGTAAATAATATAAGACATTGATATAATAATTAATTGATACACTCTATCCGCATGCTGTTTATGTGGGAAACAGCAAAGACCTGGCCAGTATCAGAACAGTTTCACCTCCAGCATGCATGACTAACACACCATGGAGGACACACCGTTTTTTCAAGACCTCACAAGGACTGCTTAGAATTGCTCGACATCTGCAAAGGTCACTATTTCTATGTTAACATTTAAATGCTTCTCAAATCTAAGTGAGCTTCTACTACAGGATTTACGGTAGTGCACACTGTCCCCAGGGCATGTCACCAACAAATGTCGCCCAGATATCTTTGTGTTAGCTTGCTTTCAATCGGTGGCCATTTCCTGCGGATTCCACAAGACGTGGGTAAGGCAAACCAGGTCCTCAAGCAAGCAGCCAAATATAGACTGTCAGTGTTCCTCAAACATGTCGTCTCTCTATTTTTTCACACTCTGTTAATGCCAGCACAAACTTGACAAATTCGGATTCTATTGCAGGCTCGTTATGGTAATGACCACTCCAATCCAAGTCTCCTGCATCTTCAGAGCAACCATTATGGAATTTCTAATTTGCAAATGCCAGGGGGTTGAAGTGGTAAACACGACTATAGTGTCGCGAGTCAATAGTTTGGCGATTATGTTTAATTTTGGCCAATACGTCTGGCTTAGGATTCAAACACATCGTGCTGAAGACAATGACAATGAAAGTCATTTCTGGCCACATCAGAAAGCTGCCCCATTACAACATTATCAAGCATCACGGCCAGGGCTGCTGGCGACATTTTTTATGCTGTGTGTTAAATTCAAATCAATGGCAAACAAGTTTAGCTGTATTGAGTATCGGGAGGGCTGGATGAAGACTTGGGGGTAATGACAGAAACCACACACACTCATGCGAGTCCATATACGAAACGTGTCACTGACTGAGGCTTCAACCGGGAAAACCTTAATTGGTCAAAATGAACTTAATGCAATACTACTTCATGAACTCTGAGATCCAAACCCTAATATTGTTACTTTCATGTTACTCCCATGCCCTGTGTTAATGACACAGCCATTAGTAACATGTAATCAATCTAACTCAACCGCTGATTTTCCTTCTGTTGCCTTCAAACCTTGATACAATTATTTCTCCTTTAGTTTGCCCTGTGGAGGTGAGGCAAAATGAGGATTAACGTTGCGTCCAAGATTATTGCACCTATATAGCAACGTGCATACATGTGTGTGCTTGTGTGGCTGCTTGTACTAGTCTGTAGTGCCAGCACACTGAGACACCATGCTTCAGTTTAAATTATAGCTAAAATGGACAGAATTATCATTAAACCGCCCACATGTTATCAAAAATGAGCGGGCCACTGTAACTTGATAATGCCCTCATATTGCTTGACAACGGGCCATTATCACGCCCGTTGTTAGGTGATGTCATAGGATAGGGATCTATAGGTGACGTCACGTTCAATAGTGACATTGGTGTTGATTGCAGTAAATGTTTCAAAACCGATATTGTTGTTTCTTTTTATTTGATAACAAATTCCATCAATTTGGATGTAGTTGATTGGTATGACGCGGCGGGGGATCAAACCCCGGACCTTCCACTCTTCGTGCTGACGCTCTACCACTTTGACCTATGAAAGTACCACACAGAGACATCGCCCTATCGAGACATCATGATATGTAGTCGTCATGACAACAGAGACACTTACCCATACTTTTGGAATCCTCCCACTCGTCTAACAAATCTGTCACTACAAACGTAAACACAGAGGTCCGGTGTTTCTTATCTTCATTCTGAAAGAGAGATGGAGAGAGATGTACCTCTACAACTGGGAGATGAGCAGTTGGTGGGATCTTGGTTGGGGTCAGTGGATGGATGGTGGGGAGTCCCCTAATCCCCTCGTATTCAGGACCCTCTAAGCTCATCGTATTCAGGACCCTCTAAGCTCATCGTATTCAGGACCCTCTAAGCTCATCGTATTCAGGACCCTCTATGCTCATCGTATTCAGAACCCTCTATGTTCTTCGTATTCAGGACCCTCTAAGCTCATTGTATTCAGGACCCTCTATGTTATTCGTATTCAGGACCCTCTAAGCTCATCGTATTCAGGACTCTCTATGCTCATTGTATTCAGGACCCTCTATGCTAATTGTATTCAGGACCCTCTATGTTCTTCGTATTCAGGACCCTCTAAGCTCATCATATTCAGGACTCTCTATGCTCATTGTATTCAGGACCCTCTATGCTCATTGTATTCAGGACCCTCTAAGCTCATCATATTCAGGACTCTCTATGCTCATTGTATTCAGGACCCTTTATGCTCATTGTATTCAGTACCCTCTATGTTCTTCGTATTCAGGACCCTCTAAGCTCATTGTATTCAGGACTCTCTATGCTCATTGTATTCAGGACCCTCTCAGCTCATTGTATTCAGGACCCTCTAAGCTCATTGTATTCAGGACCCTCTAAGCTCATTGTAATCAGGACCCTCTATGCTCTTCGTATTCAGGACCCTCTATGCTCATTGTATTCAGGACCCTCTATACTCACTGCATCTAGGACCCTCTATGCTCATTGTAATCAGGACACTCTATGCTCATTGTATTCAGGACCCTCTATGCTCATTGTATTCTGGACCCTCTATGCTCATTATATCCAGGACCCTCTATGCTCATTGTATTCTGGACCCTCTATGCTCATTGTAATCAGGACCCCCTATGCTCTTTGTATCCAGGACCCTCTATGCTCATTGTATTAGGGGCCTCTATGCTCATTGTATTCAGGACCCTCTGTGCTCATTGGATTCAGGACCCTCTATGATCATTGTATCAAGGACCCTCTATGCTCATTGTATTCAGGACCCTCTAAGCTCATTGTAATCAGGACCCCCTATGCTCATTGTATCCAGGACCCTCTATGCTCATTGTAATCAGGACCCTCTATGCTCATTGTATTCAGGACCCTCTAAGCTCATTGTATTCAGGACCCTCTAAGCTCATCGTATTCAGTACCCTCTATGTTCTTCGTATTCAGGACCCTCTAAGCTCATTGTATTCAGGACCCTCTATGTTATTCGTATTCAGGACCCTCTCAGCTCATTGTATTCAGGACCCTCTAAGCTCATTGTATTCAGGATCCTCTAAGCTCATTGTAATCAGGACCCTCTATGCTCATTGTAATCAGGACCCCCTATGCTCATTGTATCCAGGACCCTCTATGCTCATTGTATTCAGGACCCTCTATGCTCATTGTATTCAGGACCCTCTGTGCTCATTGTATACAGGACCCCCTATGCTCATTGTATCCAGGACCCTCTATGCTCATTTAATCAGGATCATCTATTCTCATTGTATCCAGGACCCTCTGTGCTCATTGTATCCAGGACCCTCTATGCTCATTGTATTCAGGACCCTTATGCTCATTGTATCCAGGATCCTCTATGTTCATTGTATCCAGGACCCTCTATGCTCATTGTATCTAGGACCCTCTATGCTCATTGTATCCAAGACCCTCTTTGCTCATTGTATCAACGACCCTCCATGCTCATTGTATCTAGGATAGTCTATGCTCATTGTATCCAAGACCCTCTATGCTCATTGTAATCAGGAACTCCTAGGCCCATTGTATCCAGGATCCTCAATGCTCATTGTATCCACGACCTCTATGCTCATTGTATTCAGGACCCTCAATCTCAATGTATCCATAACCCTCTATACTTATTGTATCCAGGACCCTCAATCTCAAGGTATCCACGACCCTCTATGCTTATTGTATCCAAGACCCTCTTTGCTCATTGTATCCACACCCCTCAATGATCATTGTAATCAGGACCCCCTATGCCCATTGTATCCAGAGTCCTATATGCTCATTGTATCCAGAACCCTCAATCTCAATGTATCCATAACCCTCTATGCTCATTGTATCCAGAACTCTCTATGCTCATTGTTTCCAGGACCCTCTATGCTCATTGTATTCAGGACAGTCAATCTCAATGTATCCACGACCCTCTATGCTCATTGTATTCAGGACAGTCAATCTCAATGTATCCACGACCCTCTATGCTCATAGTATTCAGGACAGTCAATCTCAATGTATCCACGACCCTCTATGCTCATTGTCTCTCCTCCATACTAGCTCTCATGGAACAAGTCATTAAGACGAGGACAGTTGTGAACAGCAGGTGTCTAATGCGACACTTTCCGCCACTCTCCACAGCAGCATGACCTTACAACAGCAGGATCTTGATTACTGCCTTCATCACAGTCTACTCACTTCGAAGTTCCCCAGGTGTCGGCCAAGCTGCCCCAAAACCCCTGCTTCCTCCCGGGCCTCACGAGATGCGGCAATCTTCGTCTCCTCTTCCGGCTCTATGCCGCCTCCCGGAACCACCCACCGATCTCTATAACGGCTGCTTGTCACCAGAAGGATCTACAACAAACAAAGTTATCACGTGCTTAATGCACTGCTAAAAAATCAGACTTTGGTACAGAACGCATCACCTTAATCTCCCCTCAATAAAGTGAGTGAGTTGACTTTAACGCCGCTTTTAACAGTATTCCAGTTATATCACAGCGTGTCAGCTTAATGTGGGAGGAAAGCCCGAAGTGATGCAGGTCTCAGAGCTTTACCACTTCGGTGAAACCCACGAGCACGGGTATGGTGCTGACAAACCTAGAAACATAATCGGGGCGAACAGGGATCCACAATCATATGTTTCTGGTGGCCCAAGGGATGCAACTCTGCACAGCCAATCGACGACTCGGCCACCTGTGCCCCCTCCCTCAATAAAGGAACTTATTGCTTTGTCATATGAAGACGGAATTATCGCAGGTGACCTCATGCTTTGTGAAGAGGTGTTTTCCTATCCACCTGAGCAAATGGAGCGTGAAAAAGATTTTATTGAATAAATCCAAGATTGAAGCATTTCCATGTGTAGATGCCGAACAAGGTACCTTCCCACGCATGCTTCACTCATACGTGGGGCACGGATGGCCTAGTTGTCTAAGATGCTGCGATTTGCTGTGCAGAGTTACGTGCAGAGTTGTGTCCCTTGGGCATGCCAGAAACCTATGATTGTGGGTTCGAATCCCGGTTCGCCCCGATTATGTTTGTCAGCACCATGCCCATGCTCGTGGGTTTCACCGAAATGGTAAACGTCTGAGACCTGCATCACTTCCGGCTTTCTTCCCACATTAAGCTGACATGCCGTGATATAACTGTAATACTGTTAAAAGCGGCGTTAAACCCAACTCACTCACTCATTCTCCTGTACATCTCGCTGCTGATAGTTTGGAGGTCATTTCAAGTTTTCAGACGAAAACATTAGTATAAATAGAAGAATCACATAAATCACACAGTAAGGGCTTGGCAGAAGGGAGAATGCTAAGTGTTTGCCGGTGTATATTCAACTGTATCTCTGCCACTCAGCTTTCACAATCCATAGACTTGAGGGACCAATGATCAAATCTGTGACAACATTCCATTCCTAAGACAGTCTGACCTGTTCCATCCACTAGGGAGGGAGACAGATTGCCTGTCACTGGTAATATAGCGCTTCCTAACCAGGGGAATCAGCTTGTCTGATAAACTTGAAATGTTTCACCTTATCGCAAGGACTTTTTAATGACTATTGCTTCAGACCGATGGTGGGCCAACAAAACCCACCAGACACAGCATAAGCAAAACCCTGAAACAATGTCAGACCGAAGGTGTCTCCAACAAGACCCACTAGACAGACCATGGGCAATTCCGTGAAACAATGTCAGACCAAAGGTATCTCCAACAAGACCCACTAGACAGACCATGGGCAATTCCGTGAAACAATGTCAGACCGAAGGTGTCTCCAAAAAGACCCATTAGACAGACCATGGGCAATTCCGTGAAACAATGTCAGACCAAAGGTATCTTGAACAAGACCCACTAGACAAACCATGGGCAATTCCGTGAAACAATGTCAGACCAAAGGTATCTCCAACAAGACCCACTAGACAGACCATGGGCAATTCCGTGAAACAATGTTAGACCAAAGGTATCTCCAACAAGACCCACCAGACAGACCATGGGCAATTCCGTGAAACAATGTTAGACCAAAGGTATCTTGAACAAGACCCACCAGACACAGCATAAGCAAACCGTGAAACAATGTCAGACCGAAGGTGTCTCCAACAAGACCCACTAGACAGACCATGGGCAATTCCGTGAAACAATGTTAGACCAAAGGTATCTTGAACAAGACCCACCAGACACAGCATAAGCAAACCGTGAAACAATGTCAGACCGAAGGTGTCTCAAACTAGACCCACTAGACAGACCATGGGCAATTCCATGAAACAATGTTAGACCAAAGGTATCTCCAACAAGACCCACTAGACAGACCATGGGCAATTCCGTGAAACAATGTTAGACCAAAGGTATCTCCAACAAGACCCACCAGACAGACCATGGGCAATTCCGTGAAACAATGTTAGACCAAAGGTATCTTGAACAAGACCCACCAGACACAGCATAAGCAAACCGTGAAACAATGTCAGACCGAAGGTGTCTCCAACAAGACCCACTAGACAGACCATGGGCAATTCCGTGAAACAATGTTAGACCAAAGGTATCTTGAACAAGACCCACCAGACACAGCATAAGCAAACCGTGAAACAATGTCAGACCGAAGGTGTCTCCAACAAGACCCACTAGACAGACCATGGGCAATTCCGTGAAACAATGTTAGACCAAAGGTATCTTGAACAAGACCCACTAGACACAGCATAAGCAAACCGTGAAACAATGTTAGACCAAAGGTGTCTCCAACAAGACCCACCAGACAGACCATGGGCTATTCCGTGAAACAATGTTAGACCAAAGGTGTCTCGAACAAGACCCACTAGACAGACCATGGGCTATTCCGTGAAACAATGTTAGACCGAAGGTGTCTCCAACAAGACCCACTAGACAGACCATGGGCAATTCCGTGAAACAATGTTAGACCAAAGGTGTCTCCAACAAGACCCACTAGGCAGGCCATGGGCTATTCCATGAAACAATGTTAGACCAAAGGTATCTCCAACAAGACCCACCAGACAGACCATGGGCAATTCCGTGAAACAATGTTAGACCAAAGGTGTCTCGATCAAGACCCACTAGACAGACCATGGGCTATTCCGTGAAACAATGTTAGACCGAAGGTGTCTCCAACAAGACCCACTAGACAGACCATGGGCAATTCCGTGAAACAATGTTAGACCAAAGGTGTCTCCAACAAGACCCACTAGGCAGGCCATGGGCTATTCCATGAAACAATGTTAGACCAAAGGTATCTCCAACAAGACCCACCAGACAGACCATGGGCAATTCCGTGAAACAATGTTAGACCAAAGGTGTCTCGAACAAGACCCACTAGACAGACCATGGGCTATTCCGTGAAACAATGTTAGACCGAAGGTGTCTCCAACAAGACCCACTAGACAGACCATGGGCAATTCCGTGAAACAATGTTAGACCAAAGGTGTCTCAAACAAGACCCACTAGGCAGGCCATGGGCTATTCCATGAAACAATGTTAGACCAAAGGTATCTCCAACAAGACCCACCAGACAGACCATGGGAAATTCCGTGAAACAATGTTAGACCAAAGATGTCTCGAACAAGACCCACTAGACAGACCATGGGCTATTCCGTGAAACAATGTTAGACCGAAGGTGTCTCCAACAAGACCCACTAGACAGACCATGGGCAATTCCGTGAAACAATGTTAGACCAAAGGTATCTCCAACAAGACCCACTAGACAGACCATGGGCAATTCTGTGAAACAATGTTAGACCAAAGGTGTCTCCAACAAGACCCACTAGGCAGACCATGGGCTATTCCATGAAACAATGTTAGACCAAAGGTGTCTCCAACAAGACTCACTAGGCAGACCATTGGTAATATAGTGAAACCATCATGTTCCTTCTAAAATTTGTCATCCCCATTTCCATTTGAAAGTTGGTTTCATTCATTATTGCTCCGTCAACATGGGTGCAAAAGCTAACTATCCAAGTATCCATGAAGCAAACATTTAGGTAACATCTACATGGCAACAGCGCATATGATAGTAACGTGTGAGAGTTACTTTACTCGCATCATTTACAACTAAAATATAACCTGAAATTTCAATTTACACAGTTCAGAATGGGTCAAACAATGGATAAAATATGGCATTTGACAGCACGCACCTGCCTCACTTGGAATGTTGAACTGTAAGTTAATGTTTCACTTGTAAACACCACAAGGATGTTTTGTAACACTTCATCGAGAAGGCATGGCTTCTATTACGTCTTGGATTTTAGGGGTTTCATGTAAAACATTCCGGGCGGTAGGTTGGAAATGAAATAAAATCACAACAAAAATGTCTGATTATTTTTGTTTGTTCTTCAAATGTTTTTCTTTAATATATTCTTTACGATAGTACAGTACCAGATAAGGTTGTATAGATGTAAAGCCATTGTAGACATAGTAGCTCTCTTGCAGTACTGTGTGGGATCTGTGGAAATCCCAGATAGAATAGGTCTTCAGCAACCCATTCTTGCCATAAAAGGCGACCATGCTTGTCGTAACAGGTGACTCAGGTGGTCAGGCACGCTGACTTGTTTGATGCATGTCATTGTAGTCCAACTGCATGGTTCGATGCTCATGATGTCAATCACTGGATTACTTAATTACAGACTGCTGTCATATCATGCATATGGCTGGAATATTGCTGAGTGCGGCATTAAACAACAAACCACTACCACAACAAAACAACCATTATTGTATGGAACATGTTTTTATGGTGTCAATTAGCACGCAAACAAATTGTGCTTTGTAGCATTGGCAGAGTCTGTAAAACAAGTTTTTCAGAAAGGTCTTGCCTTACACTACAATCTCCTGGGAAGGTGGCATGTGGACGGTATAGACGCGTGTGACACATGTGAATCACTACCTCCACATCTCAACTCCTGCGTCAACGTTGACAAGCTGAAACCTAAGCCCGGAATTTGACACATCCCCAGTAGAACGTATGAATAACTTGACACAGTCATATAAGGAAAGATTATGTAAGGCGGTGATTCTCAAACTGAAACACAATGGTTAACACACAAATTGGTACGTACAGAAATCAGTAAATAACCACATAAGACAAATGACCAATGTGATCAGTGAATAATATTAAAATATACAGTGGGTTTACAAAACTAGAAGGCAATACAATTGGTTAAACTATGTGGCAACAGCAGCAACATACAACAGGCCCTATTACAACAGCAGCAACATCAACAGGCCCTACTACTACAACAGCAACAACATATAATAGGCCCTACTACTACAACAGCAACATACAACAGGCCCTACTACAACAGCAACAACATGCACAGGCCCTACTACTACTACAACAACAGCAACATACAACAGGCCCTACT